ACTGTATGGTCTTGCACGTGCACATGTTTCATAATACTCTGCCCGGTCAAAGCTTGGTTTGCTTCCAAATAGAAGGCGTACACATCTTTTTTGGATGGAGAACAGTTTAGATAGTCTATAAGGTGTGACACCACCCCAGCTACTGATACAGTAGCTCATATGAGACTTGAATAGGGAGTCATACAGCTTATGGTACTCTGTTTCTGGAATAAACTTCATAATACGTTTAATTATAGCTATACTTGTAGTTAGTTTACTTTTTATGTTATCTAGTTGGGGTTCCCAGGATAGTTCATGGTCTATGATAACACCAAGGAATCTCACTTTATCTACTCGTGTAAGCGTGTTGCCTGATAACGTGAGTGAGTTCTCAGAGCCATATTCACGAGCACGTGCACAGGACGAGTACCGGCCAGGTCTGAATAACATGTAGACCGATTTGCTTTGGTTAATGTGCAGCAAGTTAGATTCCATATAGTCATTTACAGATTCAAGTACTTTATTAGCATTCAAATAGGCTTCTTGTTCAGTTTTTCCAGCAACAAATATGTTCGTGTCATCTGCAAACAGTATGAAGTGTCCAAGTTTGCTAGAGTTGGTAATGTCATTAATGTAGAGTAAGAAGAGGAGAGGGCCTAGAACTGATCCCTGTGGTACCCCATATTCAATTTTGCAGTGATCAGAGTGTGTATTTTGGAAATCAACATACTGCTGTCGGTTACACAAATAGCTTTCAATTAGGTCAAGACAGGGCCCTCTTATGCCATAGTGTTCAAGTTTGACAAGTAATTTTCTGTGGTCGATTGTGTCAAACGCTTTGCTTAAGTCAATGAATATGCCAATTACATGATTCTTACTTTCTAGGTTTTTAAGAATGTGGTCAATGGAGTAATTGATGGCATGTGCCGTTGAGTGGTTGGATCTGAATCCAAACTGTTTATCGTATATGACCATATGTGAAGTAAAGAAGCTATATAGTCGGCAGTAAATTACTTTTTCAAATATCTTACCAAAGATAGGTAGAATGGATATAGGCCTGTAGTTATCAAACAGCTGTGGGTCTCCTTTCTTAAATACGGGGGTGACCTTACCTATTTTGAGAATATTTGGAAATAGACCCAGCTTCATGAATGAGTTTAGGAAACCAGCTAGGTGCTTAGAGATTGTAGTGCAACATTTCTTAAGAACAGCTATTGATATGTCACTAGCCTTGTCACCCTGGAAGGTTTTAACAATTTTTTCGATTTCCTCAGAATCACAGGGGTTTAAGAACATACTGTTGGTAACTCTTTTGTTAAAGTAGTTCTTATAATTAAGGGGCCTCTGGCAAGCTGTGTCACGACTTATCGGTTTGGAGGAGCAGAGCTTCGCATTAAGTTTACCTGCAATGGAAGAGAAGAACATGTTAAAGCCATTCGATATGACACGCTTGTCTTTTACTAAACTACCATCTATTTTGAACGAGGCCTTTATTCCAGTTTTTGTTTTTCCCCTCAGTTCATTGATCAGTGCCCATGTTTGCTTCATATTACCTGAGACTTTTGAGAATTTTCTGCAATAGTACAATTTCTTGGCAGATCTGATAATGTATTTTAACTGTCGACGGAATTTACTATAGGTTAAGTATAGATCAGAGTCTCCAAGAGGGTTGGGTTCCTTAATTGTACTCTTCCACTGCTTGTAAAGATATTCTTTCTTTTTCACTGATGCAATGATCCCTGGTGTGATCCAAGGGTTTGCAATCATATTTCTTTTTGACTTTTTGAACGATTCAGATTCAATTAAAAAATTTTCTTCGATCAAAAGTTTTATCTTATTTGCAAAAACTTCAAAGTTTTCTACGTTGTAGCACACCTGCCCACAAAAATTTGTTTGAATATCTTCTAAGAACTTGGTCATATTAGATTCACAGTAGTCGTATTTTGGTTTACAAGGGTCAAGTTCTGGTTCTTCAGGTATGCTACATTCGAGAATACAGAAAATTGGAGAGTGATGCGAAACCCTGGTATCCAGTAGTCCAGCTGACACAATATTGTCAGTGGAGTTTGTCAGAATATTGTCAATAAGCGATGGGACACAGCCTGGTTTATGGTGCGTTGCCAGTGATATAAGTGGGATGAAGTTATTTCCATATAAAATGTTTTCAAAGCTGGCAGAGCCTTTATTAAATAGATTAAAGTTGAAATCTCCAAGCAGGATAACGTTCCTATCAGGAACCTGATTAAGAAGGCTCTCAAATTCGTGTAGGGCATCTTTGTCAGATCCACCAGGTGGTCTGTATAGGACGCCAACTGTTTGGGGCCTGCCAACGTTTGTTATGGAGACAAACACTGATTCAAGGTTAGGGCTACACATACATAGTTTGTCAATACGGGTGTAAGTAAGTGACTCATTGATGTAAATTCCCACTCCACTACCTTTAGATTTGTCACGTAATTTATTGGTGTATTCAGAGAGATAACCGGGTATCCTATACAGGTCTTTGAGGTTTGCATCAATATTTGTCTCAGCCAAGCCAATAAACGAGACTGGATGACTGTACTGTGAGATTTCTGTGACAAATGTATCAAAATTTGCAGCATTTCCATCAATATTGTTAAAAATACCAGTAAGGTTCTGCCCATTTCTATGATACAGCTTTATGAGGTTCTTAAAGCTTTTATGATCATAATTTTTACAGCTTTTATGGATTTCATTGATTTCAGAAACATCTTCAATTTCATCAAGGTGGACTGGGTCATGTTTGTCACGTATAAGTGCAGAAGCAAATGGGCAGTACCGTTGTGGTAAGCTGGCGATGCAGATGTAGCATTGCCAGCTATCATTGGTGTGGCTGTATTGGAAGAGATTTTTGGCACATTTAGAGTGAGTAACTGTTCCACAGGAGCTACAGTTCAAAATTTTGTGGTGTGTTGAGATAAATTTATTGCATCCCTTGCAAACATTCTTAGTAATTTGTGGTTGTTTGATCATCATAATTATGGTGGGCGCCTACCACCCTCTACCGCTCCGCCGAAGTTCCCCTGACTGGTGTTAAAACGTGCTCTAGACTGGCTACTCCTTCTGCCAGCTACAGATTCCTTAATATTCGCAGCAAATTTACGGATACCACTTTTACCAAGGTGGACAATATCTGAGGTAAGAGGGCCATTTGCAGCAATATCCCATCTGCCATACTCATCAGAGAGCTGGCGACCAAAAATAGAGTTATCAATAATAAAAATGTTTCTTTGCTGATAAGACACATCGAGGATGCCCCGATTAAAGCTTTCAACTTTTCTATTTAGAGAGTTTAGTCTAGTTGGAAGTAACATTGACAAGTGGATTTTGGATTTGGGGTAGGTTTCAGTAATGTCTCTGCACTTGGATTCGAGGACATGGAGGAGGTAGGCTTCTGATCGTGGATGAGACCGGGAGTTAATACTGTTGATTCCAGTATGGATGACAATATTACGGTAAGGGCCAATCTCAATTGCATCAGGGAGAGCCTCCATGTGACCTACCAAAACACGCTTCCCAGGGACCCAACGACCAAAGGTACCTACTGAGTCACCAAATGTCATCCTGGAGGTGTTTGAATCACCCAGAATGATGGTCGAATTGATGAAGTGAGGAGAAATGTGTCTAAAGGTCAGGCTCACTCTCTCTGTGGAGACATTCTCGTCTGGGAGGATCCCGTGTTTCCAAAAGTCCTGCGCATATCTCGTTGTGACTAACAAGCTGTTGTCCTGAAGGGGGAGATCTTCTGATTGGCTGTCATCATTATTGCAGAAGGACATGGTACGGGCAGCTCCTAGTGAGATCGTAAGGATGTGAGATTCGGGATCAATCACAGGCTCATCATCTCTGTGCATTGGAATGTGGTTAGCACCAGAGCTATACTTACTAATGAGACACGAGTTAATCTTGATATTCCTATCATTCACTGGAGAAGGTATTTTAGGAACAATTGTGTCAATAAGCACACAGGGGAGAAACCCTATAAATGCAAAGAATGCTCATATGCTTGTTCTCAAAAAAGTGACCTTGTTAAACATCAGCGAATTCATACAGGGGAGAAACCTTACAAGTGCACAGAATGCTCATATGCTTGTTCTCGAAAAAGTGGCCTATTTCAACATCAGAAAATTCACACAGGTGAAAAACCCTTTAGATGCAAAGATTGCTCATATGCTTGTTCTCGAAAAAGTGGCCTATTTCAACATCAGAGAATTCACACAGGTGAAAAACCCTTTAGATGCAAAGATTGCTCATATTCTTGTTATCAAAAAAATGATCTTGTTGAACATCAGCGAATTCACACAGGCGACAAACCCTTCAAATGCAAAGATTGCTCATATGCTTGTGTCAGAAAAAATGATCTAGTTAAACATCAGCGAATTCACACAGGGGAGAAACCTTACAAGTGCACAGAATGCTCATATGCTTGTTCCCAAAGAGGTACTTTAGTTAGACATAAGCTCGTCCACTGTTTACACAGGTGAGAATCCCTTAAAATACAATGACTTTTAAATCGCCTGCACTTGTAAATCAATTCTTCTAAAACAAAAATGCGAACAAGTTCTTATTGAGAGGAAACGTTGGAAAATAAAAGTAGTTTTGTGTCACTTTTAACTTTTATTAGATTATTGATGCTGAGGAATGCAAATATTACTTAATCCAAATTTGAAAGTTTATTCTAGAGTAACTGCAGATACGGAATATGTGTTACCACGTGTGTTTTTTAAATCTGGCCCTTAAATTTAAATTTACTGGAAAAATGCACTGCTTGTGGCCCTGTGCAGGTGGGCTTATAATTAACAGCGTGTGATCATTATACAAAGTGGTTTTACTTTTAAATTTTGATATTAAAACTTGACTGTTTTATAATTTATTGTAGGTATGATTTTGTAAACTTGAGATGAGTCAATACTAATTAATTTTACAGTGTCTGTTTTTAGAACCATCATTGTTCTGCAGGGGATTTCCCTGCCCTTTTTGAAATAGCTTAATAAATCCTTTCTAATTGTGGAACCATCCCAAGAAATACAAATTTGTATCCCTATTACAAATAGTAAAGTTGACACTCCTTGTATTTGAACTCGTATTGCTGGTCTATATAATACATTGTATAACTTATCGAATCTGTTACAGGAAGGATAAACATGTCACATCAGGATGGAATATCAGAAACTGTAAAAGATGAAGTGAAGACTGAGATTCTGGACCATGGTATCAAGAAGGAGATAAAGACTGAACTACAGGAAGTGAACGGGAAGTCACATGGTTTTCTTTGTCCCACATGTAAAGCTCATTTCCTTTACGATGAGCACTTTATTGAACATATTCGAGAACACCATGGCTATGAGCATTTTGCTGGTGAAAAGATAACTTCGATTGAGCCAACGAGTTCTTCTGGGATATCTGAAAAAGAAAACAGTTCTAAAAATACACGGCATCATGGAAGTAAACCTTTTGAATGTGATCTTTGTTCCTTTGGTTGCTCCTGGAAATCTCAATTTCTGAAACATCAGAGAATTCATTCTAAAGAAAAATCTTTCAAATGTGAACAATGCTCATATGCTTGTTCTAAAAAAGGTAGTATAGTGAAGCATCAGAGAACTCATACAGGGGAGAAACCTTACAAGTGCACAGAATGCTCATATGCTTGTGCTACAAAATGGAAGCTTGTTCAACATCAGCGAACTCACACAGGGGAGAGACCTTACATGTGCAAGGAGTGCTCATTTGCCTGTTCTCTTAAAAGTAATTTGATTAGACATCAGCGAATTCACACAGGGGAGAAACCCTACAAGTGCAAGAAATGCTCATTTATTTGTTCTCAAAAAAGTTATCTTGTTAAACATCAGCGAATTCATACAGGGGAGAAACCCTACAAGTGCAAAGAATGCTCATATGCCTGTCGTCAAAATTGTGATTTAATTAAACATCAGCGAGTTCACACTGGGGAGAAGCCTTACAAGTGCAAGGAGTGCTCCTATGCTTGTGCTCAAAAAGGTCAGCTAGTTAAACATCAGCGAATTCACACAGCGGATAAACCCTACAAGTGCAAAGAATGCTCATATGCTTGTTGTAAAAATTGTGATTTAATTAAACATCAGAGAATTCACAGTGGGGAGAAGTCTTACAAGTGCACAGAATGCTCATATACTTGTTCTCGAAAAGATTGCCTTGTCCAACATCAGCGTATTCACATAACATGTGAGAACCCTTAAGGGGGCATACACCAAAACAATGGTCAGTGCCGTCCAACCCAAATGACCTCATAGGCAGTTCAGTGACCATCTAGTGCACCGTTTCCACACCAAAAAATATTATTCTGAGAATATGTATTTTTGTAATCGAGTATTTCCTGGTTAGAGTGGAATTTTCGGGAAACCACAATTTGTTTCATGGAGAGGCTATAATTTAATCATTTCTTGCGGTCTCGGTTTGAAATTTTGCTTGCCGTCTATTCCCATATATTTCAAGGTGTGTGTAAAATCTTGATATCGTATCTAAAAAGGCTGGTGTGTTATAAATTTTTAAAGTCAAAAAGCTGAAATTGTCCTTTTAGGCTTATTTTAACCAAAAAGTCAGTCAGGGAAGATCGGATTGTTTTGATGCTTGATATGAAATTGTACTCTGAATTTTGACGCAGTTTTTGATTACCTCAAAAATCTTTTTACTCATTTTTCTTCAGATTTATTGGACCTCAAAGCCAAACAACAAATTTAGGAACATTTTTCGTTTTTCATATTTACTGATTTTTCTAAAATTTTGATAGGAATGTGCTAGTGACTAAAATCGACCAAAATATTATTTATGATAATATTTAAGTATTTTCTGCAATGGGTTCCCTGCCCCATCTTGGTAGTATCTTTAACAAAATAGGCTCCCTCCAAAGGGCTGAGAAACCATCAAAATGAATACAAATTCTTGTTCTTATTGCAATCTGTCAAATTAGTAATCCTTGTACTCGTATTGCTGTTCTATATAATACATTGTATAACTTATCAAATCTGCCACAGGAAGGATAAACATGTCACATCAGGATGGAATATCAGAAACTGTAAAAGATGAAGTGAAGACCGAGATTCTGGACCATGTTATCAAGAAGGAGATAAAGACTGAACTACAGGAAGTCAACGGAAAGTCACATGGTTTTGTTTGTCCCACATGTAAAGCTCATTTCCTTAACGATGAGTACTTTATTGAACATATTCGAAAACACCATGACTCTGAGCATTTTGCTGATAAAAATATAACTTCTAATGAGCCAACAAATTCTTCTGGGATATCACAAAAAGAAAACAGTTCTAAAAATACACCACATGAAAGTAAACCTTTTAAATGTGATCTTTGTTCCTTTTGTTGCTCCTACAAATCTGAATTTTTGAAACATCGGAGAGTTCATTCTAAAGAAAAACCTTTCAAGTGTGAACAGTGCTCATATGCTTATTTTGAAAAATGTGATCTTGTTAAACATCGGCGAATTCACACAGGGGAGAGACCCTATAAGTGCAAGGAATGCTCATATGCTTGTTCTGAAAAAGGTAATTTAGTTAAGCATCAGAGAATTCACACAGGGGAGAAATCCTACAAGTGCAAGGAATGCTCATTTGCTAGTTATTATAAAGGTAATCTAGTTGTGCATCAGCGAACTCACATAGGGGAGAAACTCAACAAGTGCAAGGAATGCTCCTATGCTTGTGTTCGAAAAGCTCATCTAGTTCAACATCAGCGTATTCACACAGGGGAGAAACCCTTCAAATGCAAGGAATGCTCCTATGCTTGTTCTCAAAATAGTGATCTTGTTAAACATCAGCGAATTCACACAGGGGAGAAACCCTTCAAGTGCAAGGAATGCTCATATGCTTGTTCTCAAAAAAGTGATCTTGTTAAACATCAGAGAATTCACACAGGGGAGAAACCCTTCAAGTGCACAGAATGCTCCTATGCTTGTTCTCAAAAAAGTGATCTTGTTAAACATCAGCGAATTCACTCAGGTGAAAAACCCTTCATATGCTTGGAATGCTCATTTACTTGTTCTCAAAGAGGTAGTTTAGTTAGACATAAGCTCGTTCACTGTTCACACAGTTGAGAATCCCTTAAAGTGCAATGACTTTAAATTCGCTTACACTTATAAATAAATTCTTGTTAAATACGAATGCGAAAAAGTTCACATCGAGAAGAAACTTTGTAAAAGAAGAGGGGTTTTGTGTCACTATTAACTTTTATTAGATAATTGATGCTGAGGGATGCACATTTTATTTCATCCAAATTTAAAAGTTTATTCTAGAGCAACTGCAGACATGGAATACTTCTTACGACCTGATGCTCTGATGTTAGGACACACGATTACTGTGTGGCACTTGTAAAAAAAATGTATGCCTTTTAATTTAAATGTACTGGAAAATGAACTACTTGTGGCCCTGTGCAGGTGGGCTTTGAATAATTAACAGCTTGTGATGATATAAATAAATAAATACAAAGTGGTTTTACTGTTATTAAATTTTGATATTAAAACTTGACTGTTTTATAATTTATTGGCGGTATGATTTGGTAATCTAGTCTAGATGAGTTTTTACAAGTGATTTCTGCACGTATATTAAGTATTTCCAAGGTTTTGGAATAACTTGATTATGCGCATTTCTGACCAAACCAACTAATTCACAAAGTTTTCATTTACATTTTATTAAAAGAAGTATAGAACTGTAACTGTTATGCCTCTCTTACTTTTAAAATTACCACGATCAACTTTCTTAAAAGGTTCTATACTTCTCCAAATTCTCACTTGTATAAAATTGTACATAATTCTGACGAAATGTGTTGTACCCTCGTATATTGACGTGTAACTTCGCGTGTAACTAGGATATTTACAGCGGAATCTCAGGATTGTTATGTTTTACCTTACTAAATACCTGTCAAGCAATGTTTACTTGGGAATCTTGTGGAGATTGTTTAGTTTCAGGATTAGGTTTTCCTTACCTCTTAATTAGGTTCACCACCCTTGAGGGGCTTTATTGGGTTTACTATCGTGTCACGTGAGCCTATTGGGTCACGTGATTAGGTCCTTATAGACCGCTCCATTGTTGTATTCGGGGCCTTTTCGGTTCCACGGATTTTCATTTGGATTAGACTTATAACTGAGTATCACTTGTACTAAGACTAGTAAGGTCTAGTTAACTTACTTTATCTGTCAAAGTGGGTACGTATTTATGTAATTTTCGTAATAATTAAATGGTTACCTTCATGTCCACAGTTCGATGTTTTAACCCACCATACCAATATACCATTCTTTTTACTCATTAGCTTATTATTTATATAAGTATATACTACAAAATGTTTGGATTCTTAGTCCTGAGTAGGGCACTCTATTAACAGTTTTTGACAGATTTGAATGGCCTGCAAAGCAGATCGAAGCATCTCTAAATTATCTACTATTTTTATTGTATTGCTGTGTAAATTTTATTCTAATTCTAATTCTAATTCTAAATCTTTTCTGATTGTGGAACCATCCTCATTTCAAATAGTAAAGTTGACACTCCTTGTATTTGTACTCGTATTGCTGTTCTATATAATACATTGTATAACTTATCGAATATGTTACAGGAAGGATAAACATGTCACATCAGGATGGAATATCAGAAACTGTAAAAGTTGAAGTGAAGACTGAGAGTCTGGACTATGTTATCAAGAAGGAGATAAAGACTGAACTACAGGAAGTCAACGGGAAGTCTCATGGTTTTATTTGTCCCACATGTAAAGCTCATTTCCTTTATGATGAGTACTTTATTGAACATGTTCGAGAACATCGTGAGGATATATCTGGTGAGCAGATAAATTCTAATGAGCTACTAAGTTCTTCAGAATCTCAAGTAATAGAGAATTTCAAGAATACCCCGCAAGTTTACATCATAATTGTTATCATTTTATACTGTACATAATATATAAAAATATGATATCCTTGTATTTTATGTTTGTTTCTGTTTGTGCTCCTAGAAATATTGTTCTCTGAAACATCATATAGTTCATTTAATGAAAAACGTTTAAATTGTGAACAGTGCTCATTATATATTCTCAAAAAGGTAGTCTAAATTTTAGATTAAATAATAATTGAAAAAAAACGTATAATAATAATTCAGACAAGCTTGAAGATGCAACAGAAGAATCAGACTCAGAACATGTTATGACTCTTGGTGACTTCCATTACACGGGCTCAGAGGCTGAATTTGTAGATTACAGTGACCAGCAGCAGTCTATTTCTAGAGGTAAGCACTGATCTTGCTAACCAATTTGCAGAACATAATCGATTATAATATATAATACTCTGTCTTCATACAACCATTAATAAAGACCAAACAACTATATTTAAAACAGGTTAAGTTTTAAGTTTTAAGTTTTAAGTTTTAAGTTTTAAGGTAAGTGAGGCGAAGTATAAAGAATCATAAAGCCTATCCTATGAATTATTTGGAACAGTAATGTAACTGTAAAATATGTAAACATTTTTGGGGGCACAAATTTTTTGCCCCGAAAATTGGTGTTGTTAATAATTATATTACTTAATTGACATACATGCTACATATGAAGCAGAAGAGGTCTCCTCCTAGTCGTTGGAGTGGCCTGTATCACACACATCCCTTGTATTGCGTAACAGGTTCCTCCATTCCACTCGGTTCAATGCTAACTGACGTATTGCATCTCGGCTGATGTTGTCAACACCTGTAAAGTTAGCAGCATCCTCGAGTACACAGGCCATCCAGCCTTTTCGGGGTCTCCCGGGGGGGTACCAATGGCATAAATGGCATAATGGAGAATTGGCCAAACAAAATTTCCATTTATGCCATGAAATTTCTATGCCATTTGATGATTTTTATGCCATTTGTCTCCATTCTATGCCATTCGAAATATGAAATTTTAAAACTTTGAACTGAGAATTTAATAACGAATAGTCTGCACCCCACTAGTACTGTCCACCTTTATCTCTATTTATTGTACTGACCCTGGTCATTAGAAACACCCCTAAAAGTTCGTTTTTTGACAAAAAATGTTGTCAAATTTCTGTAATTTCATTTCTGTTTTTGTTACGCATTTGATTTTTGGTATGCGTATAGAAAATCGATACGGCTTTAAAATGAGATGTTCGGCGACCTCCTAGCTCACTCACTAGACTCAGTAGGAGTGATTTAACTGCGAGGGACAATTGAGGCTAACAAATTAGCGTCACCACTTTCAAAAGGAACTTTCTCATGTTACGTCCATGATATCCAAGTTGCAAGCATAATCCATAGTGATTATACTTGATCGAGATCTAAGCTTTAAATATTCGAGGTGAAAATGAGGCTAACAAGTATACTTTTGTGTAAATTTTCGAGTTGGTTCGGTATTGTGACTATCTAATACGTCAACAATAAAGATTGATTCATCCTCTTCAAACTCAACATTTCAGAAATCGCCAAGTCTACTTGTAGGAGGCCAAAACGAGGCTATAAATGATTCGATCATGAAATACCGTCGGATTATAGCTTCAAATTTTCGAGGTGAAAATGAGGCTAACCACTTTGTGAGAGGGTGAAATGAGGCTAACAAGTATACTTTCGTGTATATTTTCGAGCATGTTCGGTATTGTGACTATCTAATGTGTCAACAATAAAAATTTATTCATCCTCTTCAAGCTCAACATTTCAGAAATCGCAGAGTCTTCTTGTAGGAGGCCAAAATGAGGCTAATAAATGATTCGACCGCATTTTAAGTTTTAACTTTAATGTACGGAAACATGTTATAGACCCACTATAAAACTTGTAATTGTAGCCTGAAGGTTATTGAGACTTTATCGAAACTTATGTGAGGATGGATTGAGGCTACCTTCTCTCCTTGAGGCAACATTGAGGCTAACAGATACACTACGCAGACAAACGTCACTGTGCCAGCTATCAAGTAGTTGCTGAGCAGCAGCAGCAGTTAGATGAAGAAAATGAAGTTGAGGAAGGAAATGTATTAGAGCTGTTGGCTAGAGTAGGCCCCTTACTTCTATGGAGCTCTCTGGCCAATTGCTCTGGCAATGCTCTCCATGGGGCCATGTAATATCACATGATCTGATATCATGCCAAATTAGACTCTAAACTATAAAGTATAATAAAAATGGAACTGTTTGAGAAAAAACATTTTTCGTTACTTGGAAAGAGAATAATTACTCAACTGTCAGCATAACGAATCAGGCGTACCTTGATCTTATATGTACTTGTGACGGTCTTGTTTTGTATTTAACTCTGCTGAAGAAGCAATTCCCTAATGCTGAAATCGTCACTTATTACCTTGGAAGTGATCAGAATGAGCAGCTGTTAGCATTTATTCGGGTTTCTTTTTCATCTGGTCGCTCAAGAAATATGGATGCGATAACTATGGCCCATGGAATGGAGAGAAAGAATGTGTACAGTGCTTTATCATTACATGAAGACACATCTGCAATTGCACATGCACGTGGAAGTACAGTTTTGCATCCTACAGTTCACCTCAAAAAGGTTAAATCTACAGGCCAGAAAGCAGAACGAGTGAAATGGACTGGTGGTATGATAAGCCTAGGCAAGTTGGCAAAAACGCTGGACAGGGCATCGAGGGACTGCATTCGAGAAGGGAAAAGAAACAATTTCCCTGTGTTCGCCGCAGTCGCAGATCCTGAAGAACGGAGTGGGAAGCCAATAGTCCATGGCCAAGAACTTTCTTGGGAAGCTGTAGATGATGAAGCTGGATGCCTCGAGGATGAGGACGACTTAGCTTATGAGGTAGAACCTGGAGTTGATGATTGTGATGATGGAGAAACGATATCAACAGATAAATATGGAACACTATCCTTCCGGTCTTTTGAGACACTCACGCTCAATGGAGGAAGAAGCACTTTATCAACAAAATCTCGTATTTCAAGATTCAAGGGGGACGCGTTTGGAGTGTCTTCTGATGTTCGCATATACAATCAACCTGAATGCGGATGTTCAACAGGTTTGAAAGCTGGCAGTACAGAAACTCTTAAAGTCTTCAAATCTCAGCAGGACTTTGCAACAGGAGTGGTTAGATTTATTTCTTATAAGTCATGCCCGATGAAGTACTACTGCCAGGAACATAGCCTAATCAATGGATCTCCTAATGTTTGGCTACTCGTCGAAGACAAATACATCAGATGCATTGTTCCTTGATGACATTCAAAATCGTTGTGTTGTCAATGTTTGTATTCTGTACATTTTGAACATCTCACAATTTGCTATTCTTGAATAGTGAAATGTTTGGTATATATTTGATATAATACATTTCTATTTTCTTTATTTAGTTATTTGTCATATAAATCTTTGACTTTAACGATCATTCCAAGCGTTATAAAGCATGAAACATGTCTCTTTTTCAAGTACTAATAATATTTGCGAATTTAAAGTCATCCTAAAGGTCAAATATGAAGACCTAAATTCATGGCATAAATTGGCATAAATGGAGAATTGGCCAAACAAAATTTCCATTTATGCCATGAAATTTCTATGCCATTTGATGATTTTTATGCCATTCTTCTCCATTCTATGCCATTGGTACCCCCCCCCCCCGGTCTCCCTCTCGATCGATTTCCATAGTTAGGTTTCCACTCCAGTAGAAGATTTGGTAACCTAGTCTCTGGCATTCTTACAACATGTCCTTACCACTGTAGTCTAGCAGAACCGATGAAAGTGTCTATAGACTTTACGCCAGCACGCCTTAGAACTTTATCATTGGAGATTTGGTCAAACCAAATTTTAGATTAAATAATAATTGAAAACACGTATAATAATAATTCAGGCAAGCTTGAAGATGCAACAGAAGAATCAGACTCAGAACATGTTATGACACTTGGTGACTTCCATTACACGGACTCAGAGGCTGAATTTGCAGATTACAGTGACCAGCAGCAGTCTATTTCTAGAGGTAAGCACTGATCTTGCTAACCAATTTGCAGAACATAATCGATTATAATATATAATACTCTGTCTTCATACAACCATTAATAAAGACCAAACAACTATATAAAACATGTTAAGTTTTAAGTTTTAAGTTTTAAGTTTTAAGTTTTAAGTTTTAAGGTAAGTGAGGCGAAGTATAAAGAATCATGAAGCCCATCTTATGAATTATATGGAACAGTAATGTAACTGTAAAATATGTAAACATTTTTGGGGGCACAAATTTTTTGCCCCGAAAATTGGTGTTGTTAATAATTATATTACTGAATTGACATACATGAATAACATGCTACATATGAAGCAGAAGAGGTCTCCTCCTAGTCGTTGGAGTGGCCTGTATCACACACATCCCTTGTATTGCGTAACAGGTTCCTCCATTCCACTCGGTTCAATGCTAACTGACTTACTGCATCTCGGCTGATGTTGTCAACACCTGTAAAGTTAGCAGCATCCTCGAGTACACAGGCCATCCAGCTTTTTCGGGGTCTCCCTCTCGATCGTTTTCCATAGTTAGGTTTCCACTCCAGTAGAAGATTTGGTAACCTAGTCTCTGGCATTCTTACAACATGTCCTTACCACTGTAGTCTAGCAGAACCGATGAAAGTGTCTATAGACTTTACGCCAGCACGCCTTAGAACTTCATCATTGGAGATATGGTCAAACCAAATTTTAGATTAAATAATAATTAAAAACACGTATAATTATAATTCAGACAAGCAGGAAGATGCAACAGAAGAATCAGACTCAGAATTTAATATGACTCTTGCTGACTATGGGGCTGAATTTGTAGATTACAGTTACCAGCAGCAGTCTATTTCTAGAGGTAAGCACTGATCTTGCTAACCAATTTGCAAAACATAATCGACTATAATATATAATACTCTGTCTTCATACAACCATTAATAAAGACCAAACAACTATATTTAGAACAGGATAAGTTTAAAGGTAAGTAAGGCCAAGCACAGGGTGAGTAAAAAAACTTTAAGATACACTTTGTAAGTTAATAATTTAAATTATAAAGCTTATTATATCTCAATCTTTCTGAACATTTCTAGTCAATAAGTCTGGACCCTTTCCTGATAGTAGCCGAAGAGTTTTTTGGAATCGGCCAAATATTTTTTCCACAATCGGCAACCCCCTGGAATAACCATTTAGAAATCCTTGCATTTCTCAATTTTACCCTAATATACGGCTATCTAATTAGGACTCCAAATAAAAATATATGGTGTTCTGAATATTAAATTAATAAACAACATTCTAATATTTTAGGTGAGCGTTCTGTTCGGGGAGAATCAGAAAGTCTTTCTATCAACCCTTCTAATGATACACTCAGTATTGGAAAGAAAAGAAAGCGAAAACCTTGCATTTTAACCTGTACAGCTTTGCTTGCACTGCAGGCCGAATTAAAGACGGAGTATGTTACAGTTAAACCAAAACAAATAATAACAGCTTTTTTGGACGAGAAAGGAGTTAAAGTGTGCAAACGAGTCGAGAAGTTGGCTTCAACTGCTATTACCGAATATGTAAGTCGTTAATTCTAATTAATTAATTAATTAATTAATGACTGTTGATTTGTAACGGCCAACATGATTGATATTCGTGATCAGGATATAAGACGAGAATGTTGAGTTTATATTCACTTATTTTTAAGTTGATTGATTATTTTCAGATAAATTGAGTCAATTAGGCTACATATTTCGAACAATTGAAAAATGTCTATAAAACAATACTAATCATCGATGCACTGATGATTCGTATTGTTTTATACATATTATGAAACGGATTGTTTCACCGACAATTTGATTGTTGTTCGAACTTCGAAATATAATGCTTTAAAAGTTTAAATGATTAACTGCAGTTGAGCACTCTCTTTGGGAAAGCAAGCAACAACTATTTATTATATATAACTACATTATAATATGTACGAAATATAACATACCAATTTAAACTAATTAAGTCCTCGGTTTATTTGTATTGAAAAGCACCAATATATATATTTAATACATCAAATTTCAGCGCAGAAAATTAAGAAAGGTTGAGAAATCAAAAGGTGAATTGAGTCTTCCTCCTGAAGATGACCCAGTTTTTAACTTCTCCAAACACACCACGCCAAATATTCTCCTCGGTCCAACAAAACCTTATGCGGAGCTAACTCGACAAGGACGGGATATCCGGATAAGGAACTTTTCCAAGAACATCACTAACCAGTTGGTTGAGGTATGGTGCAGTTGGCCAATGCCTTACGATATATTTATTATAATAATTATAATAATATGACAAAATATGATTATGGCAAATATTTTGGGAAAGTGATTTGGCCCTTGGCCTTGATTACATAATTTAAAGATTTTTGCGCTAGTTTTTTTTTTTCGTGGTGGCATTGGTACTGTGACAACTTGTAGAAATGCTTTTGTATAAAAGAAATATTTAGCAAAAGAAGCATGCAAATAATAACATGGGATGATAATTATAATTCATTTTCCTTCAGAAATATGGAAACGGTGACGGTAAACTGTTCGGATCTGAGGAGGATGTGTTTGCTGTAGTCTTTGCTGAACACCTATTACGAACCGATATTATTTTATGATAAATGTATATCTTTATGAATTTATATCTTATTTATATCTTTATGAATTTATTGAATCTTTTTATTTTCTTGACAGATATTGTGACCTTACATGATGATATTTCATTTATTTACTTATTTAAATTATAAGTATGTGGTCTCATTACTTTACACATGGGAATTGGGATTTGGGAGCTCGAGAGTCCTGCACATACTTAGCTAATGAGTTACTTCTCCATCAGTTCACAAATCACAGCCATTCTCTCTCACCATAGCCCAGGCATGATCTATAAAGCTATAAACTGTACCTACTCAATCATATCATTATTAGTTGATGTAAAAATAAAACATAACATATTTTACGATTTGAGAACGGCCTGATTTTGATCTCAGTATTTCAATTTCGCTATTCAATTCTAGGCTCTAGGCTTGTAACTAGCATTATTTAATATTAACTGGGCAGTTGGTTGGGTTAGTTGAAATTGTAAGATATAAAACACACCTGGGAATATATAGCGCAGTGTGGCATGCCTATTATAGTATTGAATAATTTGATATTAATCTTTTACTTTCCGAAGAAAAATACAATGAAAACACGCTTTAAATGCAATTCCAGTAAGATCATTGGAGATGAAATGAACATCACAAGGCAAGAGTTCTAAAAACGTCCCAACAGTGCATCTCTGGTTACTCTCAGCTTCTCAGCACTGACTCTACACTAAGATCTCCTGACTAAGATTATACCGTCTCCGCAGTATCAATCTGGTGGACCTTGACATCTTCAGCTTCTATTCCCATACCAGGGTCCGGTGCTCCTTCTCGCTCTTTTCCGTTTCTTCGAGAGCGGCGCTTAACATTTGTTGGTTTCCAGTACCTTCTGGAGAGTGGAAGAGTTGTTAACGTAATTGTTTAATTAATTAGCTTAGTAATTAGCTTAATTGTGACACGATCAGAGACAAGCATCGTGACAACATAACTTAACACTTAAGACATGTTACTAAGCCCTAACTTTAAAAACTGAACCATTAATGAGTGTGATATCGATCTATTAAGTATAATATTATGATACATGTACTTGTTTGGTTGTTCGGTTTGTAAGAGTTCACATTGTTCACAAATAGATTATAATATAATATTTAGTCGCCCGGAAGAGTTTGCATTTTTCACAAATTAGATTATATATATTTCGTCGTCCCCTGTTGCAATTTGCAAAGTCTACTCTATTAAAATCCACTATACAATTATATTGAATTATCAAACCTCTTGCCGACGATGACAAAAAGACCGGCTTCATCTGCAGACTCTAAAGCTGTGGAGTCTCGTTCTTCACTCTGAAATACAAGATACAAAATACAAGATACAAGATACAAGATACAAGATACAAGATACAAGATACAAGATACAAGATACAAGATACAAGATACAAGATACAAGATACAAGATACTAGATACAAGATACTAGATACAAGATACAAGATACAAGATACAAGATACAAGATACAAGATACAAGATACAAGATACAAGATACAAGAGCAGGTCTCTCCCGCAAGTTGGGATGGCCTGAGGTGCTTATCTCCTTTTCAGTAACCCTAAGCCACTCTGTGCCGAGGCACTATACTGCCCAAATTTGCAAAAAGGAAGCAAGTGACATTTTTCAAAATATGGAGTTCTATACACCGTTGGAAAGGTATCGCTGAGCTCTATTTTACTAACTAAGTCTTATTAACAGCAGATGTAACTAAAATTTCAAAGTGGGAAGTATCTACACGATTTTCACCATTCTTAGCAGTATTTGATCACTCACGATAATCAAAAAGGAAGTAACTGCAAAGATACTTCCTTTTTGCATATTTCCAGTACTTGCTTCCTTTTTGCGTGTTTTTCAACTAAAGATACTTCCTTTTTGCATAATCTCATCTCAAGATACTTCCTTATTGCAGATTTTAACCTTGAGATTACTAATTTGGCATAGTGCCATCCTGCAGATACTTCCTAATTACCAAACAGGGTGAACAGTAAATGTCAAAGGAGGAGGACTGAGGGGAACTGAGGAGGAGGGGGAGGAGGAGTAAAACTGAGGAGGATGACTGATGACTCGTGAGGAATGATGAGGAGGGGAAGGAGGTGGATGAGGAGGATGAGGAGGATGAGGCGGACTAAGGAGGAGGAGGAGGAGAAGGAGGACTGGTGAAGAGGATTGATGAGGAGGAGGACTGATGAGGAGGAGGAGGAGGACTGACGAGGAGGAGGAGGAGGACTGACGAGGAGGAGGACTGAGGAGAAACCGAGAAATATGAGGAGGAGGAGTGAGGAGGAGGATGAGGACTGAGGAGGACTGAAGAGGATGGCTGAGGAGGATGGCTGAGACTCTGAGAGGGAGGAGGAGGAGGAGTAAAACTGAGAAGGACTGAGGAGAAGGAGGATGAGGACTGAGGGGGACTGAGGAGTAGGACTGAAGAGGGGAACTGAGGAGGAGGAGGGGAGGCGGAGGAGGACTGAGGAGGATGACTGATGACTGGTAAGGAATGATGAGGAGGGGAAGGAGGTGGATGAGGAGGATGAGGAGGATGAGGAGGACTAAGGAGGAGGAGGAGAAGGAGGACTGGTGAAGAGGATTGATGAGGAGGAGGACTGATGAGGAGGAGGAGGAGGACTGACGAGGAGGAGGACTGAGGAGAAATATGAGGAGGAGGACTGAGGAGGACTGAGGAGGATGGCTGAGGAGGATGGCTGAGAGGGAGGAGGAGGAGGAGTAAAACTGAGAAGGACTGAGGAGAAGGAGGATGAGGACTGAGGAGGACTGAGAGTAGGACTGAAGAGGGGGATTGAGGAGGAGGAGGAGGAGAGGTGGAGGAGGACTGAGGAGGATGACTGATGAGGAATGAGGGGGGAAGGAGGTGGATGAGGAGGATGAGGAGGACTAAGGAGAAGGAGGAGGAGAAGGAGGACTAGTGAAGAGGATTGATTAGGAGGAGAGGACTGATGAGGAGGAGGAGGAGGACTGAGGAGGAGGAGGACTGAGGAGTAGCTCGGACTAAGGAGTAGGAGTAGGAGGATGACTGAGGAGGGGAGGAGGAAGAGGACTGAGGAGGATCAGGATGACCCAGGAGGACCCAGGAGGAGGAGGAGGCGGAAGACTGAGGAGTCGAGGAGGAGGACTGAAGGAGGAGGAGGAGGACTGAGAAGGACTGAAGGAGGAGGACTGAGAAGAACTGAGGAGGAGGAGGAGGACTGAATGGGAGGAGGAGGGGGACTGGGGGAGACAGAGGAGGAGGACTGAGGAGGAGGAGGACTAAGGAGAAGGATGAGGATTGAGAAGGAGGACTGAGGACTGAAGAGGAAGAGGAGGAGGATGACCCAGGAGGAGGAGGAGGAGGACCCAGGAGGAGGACCCAGGAGGAGGAGGAAGAGGACTGAGAAGGAGGAGGACTGAGGAGAACTGAGGAGGAGGAGGACTGAATAGGAGGAGGAGGGGGACTGGGGGAGACAGAGGAGGAGGACTGAGGAGGAGGAGGGGGACTGGGGGAGACAGAGGAGGAGGACTGAGGAGGAGGAGGACTAAGGAGGAGGAGGACTAAGGAGAAGGATGAGGACTGAGGAGGAAGACTGAGGACTGAAGAGGAAGAGGAGGAGGATGAAAAGGAGGAGGACTGAGGATCAGGAGGAGGAGGAGGAGGAGGAGGACTGAGGAGGACTGAGGAGAAGGAGGAGGAGGACTGAGGAGGGCTGAGGAGGATGACTGAGGAGGAGGACTGAGAGGGAGGAGGAGGAAGAGGAAGACTGAGGAGGAGGAGGAGAAGGACTGAAGAGGAGAAGGAGGAGAAGGACCCAGAAGGAGGACCCAGGAGGAGTACCCAGGAGGAGGACCCAGGAGGAGGACCCAGGAGGAGGAGGAAGAGGAGGAGGAGGAGGAGGTGGAGGAGGAAGAGGAGGAAGAGGAGGAGGAAGCATCTAATTGTTATTTCCATTTTTGTTATTTTTTGTCCGTTTTTGTCCGTTTTTGTCCGCTCTATTTTTTGTCCGTTTTGAAAATATAGGGTACCGAACGGACAAAAAACATGAGCCCCCCTTCTATTATATTTCAGAGTTTCATTGTCTAATATTTTCATAATTTTGGACTGAAAAACCATTATTTTCAACACGAATTAAGCATGCATAATGACTCAAAATAGTGTATTATGTAGGGAAGCATCTACATAGTTGAATACCAAAACACTGCAAAAAGGAAGTAAGTAGTCGAAAATCTGCAAAAAGGAAGTATCTCGCTTTGGCAGTCAAATTTTTTTCTGGCAGTGAAAACGGAACCCGTTTTCATGAAAAATTGGTTCAAATAATCGGAATAAAATTGTTCAGAAAAGTTACCCTGGACGATTCTTAATGTATTCAAGCAAAAATTTAAAGCATGATACAGTCAGCTGAACGTCAGAAACGGGTCTAGTTTACATGCTTTTATCTCAAAACGATGATTTTGCAGATACTTCCTTTTTGCAAAAAGGGGCAGTATACTAGCTGTAAACTCAGTTTAATAAATTTCTATAGAACAGCCACGAAAGCTTGGCCGCTAAAAATCGAAATTACGATTGAATCACACTTTGAAATCAGATGATCAAAATATGTGTGAAATTAAGATTGGGTAATTCGATAATCTGTCGATGCATGATTAATGATCTAGACACAGTTTAGGAAATCTTACGAACCGAGTATCAGTTGAGGCACAATTCAGGCAAAAGTCTCAGTCGGGGCACAGTTAAAGCAGAATTGCATTACATCTATTACATGTTATTACATAATATTATGATATACATGATTCTGCCCCCAATATCTCAATATGGCCCGAATGTACCCCAACACTGATGTACTCGGTCCGCCCCAATAATGTCCAACCCTGCATTAATAGGTTACCCTATAACACCTAAAACTGTTTACGTTATTATATAAAGTGAATACCGAAACTACACTACGAATATACAATAATTTACCTCTATGTACATAGCGCTGACCATTACAGCTAGAACTAGGAATGCTATAATCTCTCGCATCTTGAACCTAAGTAAATGCGATCAATCACAATCTGTGGGGCCAACTGAACACCATCCCCTGTTATATACCATGTATTGAGGTCCCTGAATTGCGTCAAAGCTTTTGCCATGTCTGAAAGTGGTAATTTTAGCTGCCACATTGCTCATGGTGGCAACTAGCAAGTTTTATTGACTGAACGGAGGCTTGGGTAGACCACTTAGTCGTAATTATAGAGTGAATACCGTCAGTACAGGCTATTTACTGCTTTCCTCCAAGACTCCAGTACTTTTCACAAGTTTAATTGTCGACTGCTCTATAAAATTATAGAAGAATATTATATAAGTTAGCGGTTAGATGTATCTATCTAACACTCTAATATACTAATACAAGTTGGTTTGATGAATTATGGACCCTGATATGTCTGTGTATGAAGTGTTTTGTTCAGATTGAAAATCTGTAAAGAAATTTATTTTGATGTAATATGACGTATATTGTAAAAGTACTGTTTATATTGTATACTGTATAGCAGAGTTCTTAAAGGATCTTATTTTAACTAATCATAGTTCCTGAATCATAGTTCCTAAACATATCACCACGTTATATAATAGAATATGGTTCAGATAAGCTATATGTAGTATCGTTGGTTTGTGGTAATTTCGTGGTAATTTCGTGGTAATTTTCCGGGTAATTAAATCCAAATCATAATTTCATCATCAATAATTATGTTATGAATGATACCATTAGTTTACCTGACTCTACAGATCTGTATAGCTATGTTTGGTGAGAAGGCAGTGTCTCTTGTTAAGGAGCTACACAGATGTCCTGACGAGCAACTCCATCCTGTTAACGAGGATTTACTCCGACAAGTTGGTAACTAATACTTTATGGAATGTATTAAGTATGTAACTATCCAGCCCTCATCCAGCCCCCATCCAGAACGATGGCAGATCGGCAGATAATCTGCGAGGAAATTTTTGATTTTGGCGGAAATTTGGTGCCAAAAAGAAAATTTTTAGAAAACCTGACATTTTTCTTTTTGTTGTGGATTGAACAAAAATGGAGTGGGTACATTGATCTGCGAGGAAATTTCAAACTTTCTGGATGTCATGTGGGCTATCTAGAATGTTTATTAGATTATATATTGATGATTATGTAAAACTAATTATTACCCAAACTGAATGACTAAGGGGTCGTTCACATATATTACGTAATCAGCCGAGGGGGGAGGGGGGGTTTCCAAATGCTTACGGTTGATTACGGGGGGGGGGGGGGGGGGTTTCGGTCGTTGATTACGTAATCAAAATTTTCATTTTTACCCTCTAGAATAATAACAATTTGACAATATTTTAATTCAAATTCCACTCAATTTCACTCTGATAGTGATAAAATTTAAAAATTGATCGAATATCCGGCTATAATAGTAAGTAGTTTAGAAAGTGTTTGGCCGGATATCATAACAATGATTTAGGCTCATAATGATAGCATGATCAGGGTAGTATAACATGAAACGTAGAGAAAAGTGTTTTCTAGGAAAAAAGTCGAGGATCTTGATGACGGTTGATTACGGAAGGGGGGAGGGGGGTAAAAATTGCTAAAATATTGATTACGTAATATGTGAACGACCCCTAATGAGACTTGAGGTGGAACACCACTCATATACCACACTTCTGTAATTTAATGCTGAAGTTTGAGTGAGTGAGGCCTGCCCCTCAGGGCAAGTAAACTACAGTAAAACCTCTATATACCGGGCCTCTTTTGGGGAAGCGAAAAGTGAACGATATAGACAGGTTAACATATATTGTACTTAAATTGGGCCCCGGTATATTGAGGTACACGTTAATATGAGGTCTGGTATATTGAGGTTTAACTGTAGTTGACAGGTTGATTGACCGACTGAGCCACTATAATTATACCAGCACTACATTTTTGTGTTTTCAAGTCAGATGATGGATTGCAAATTCTTCATTCTTTCAGGTTTACGCTGAGATGGGTGCTCTGTTTGAAGCAAATAAAAGTGATATTGAAATCAATGACGACAATAAAATGATCCCAAGGTGTGTTGAAACGAACATTTTCTTCAGGTTCAGTTTTGCAAAATCTGAGAATCGGCAGTTATTTGCTAGAGCTCTAGAGCAGCTTTTTATTGTTATAATTATATCACTTTGTTCAGTTATTTAACTCCCATCACCTTCAGTATACACCTGCGGCACAGTGCGTTGGAACACAACAGGCGCTGTGTATTAGCGTACTTGAAACAGCGGCTTAACCGGATAACCCAGTTCAGGTGGGATCACGGAGCAGTTCTACCTGAGGAGATACAAGTTAACATGCAGGAACATGAGGTTAGAGTTCAGTTAGAGTTCTTTAAAGTTCTTTAGAGTTCAGTTAGAGTTCAGTTAGAGTTCTTTAGAGTTCTTTAGAGTTCAGTTAGAGTTCTTTAGAGGGCGATTATACATATTAATTTTAAAATGCGACTAAGCCTTCTACTTGATTGGTTAAGAATGGTCACGTGTTAGTACTGATGTGTTAAATCACAAGATACGAAAATGGCAATGTTATGAGTAGTTGTGATAAGTTGTTCATTATATTCAGTCTTTATACTGTTGTCTTTTATATTACCTAACACCTCGCTTAATGTTTACAGAAGCAGTGGTTCAACAAGTACAACAAGTCGCTTGCAAACTACATGTTGTCAATGAACGGCCTGGACATAACCCAAAACACCGTCCCTCCAAAATCTCTGAAGATACAGGTATGAGTTAAGTTGTGCTCAATCTCAACTCTAAAGTCCAACATGGTTGTTTATGATCTTGAGTGACAAATATAAATATCCCTTTTCACTTCCCTTATATTTTTAATACTTTCAACACTACTAAATAACAAATAATTTGAGGAAACGATGTAACAGAATCAACATATTTTAATGTTGCCATGGGGTGGCAAGTCCCCATACATCGTAGTCTGATAGTTTCACTGCGTCATTTGTTTGTTTGAAAGACCCGAGGGCCACCCTTAAGGGCTTTGAAACCGGTTTATTGACAATATAATATATAATAAATAAATAAATAAACTGAAATCGTAACATTCATGTCAATACTAACTGAAATAATATAAGCTGTAGTTAAAATAATAATACTTACTGTCACTTAATTAAGATATATGATGTAATAAAATGAATCTCTTTATTTCCACACTAATTCTCACACCAAGCTTTAATTCACACACGTACACCAAAACTTTAAATTTTATCATATTACAAATGTCCTAATATATACGTCTCTTATCTTTTAGTTAAAAAGTCAGGGGTGCAGCCGTTTAACTTCAATTAAGATTAAAACAAAAACAATTCATCACGCTGGATCGCGATGTTATTCTATCAAAATCAGCTAGGCGTTATTTGAATTGATTGATGGGCTCTGTGTGGTACTGTGTAGTGGTAAGTGGGTGTGTGTGCGCGTGGTTGTTATTATGATGCGTTGAGATCAGCTACGTTGATGATATGTGATTGTGCGTGTTGTGCGTGTTGTGCTGATAAGGCTTTAATTGAGCAATGGCCAGGAGTATTATCAGTAAACTAGTAGCAGGTCTGGCAGTGAAAATTTTCCGATTTCAAAAGTGGTCGGTAATTATTAGTTTTGAAGTGCTTTTGTAACTAAGAAGTTTATTGAGTGAATGCCTCATGTTGTTTAGATAGTTTACTAATACTAAGTTATGTAGTGGGGTGTGTGATTTTGTGACCGTTGAGATTTCCTTAAACCTGGAATATTATTCAGTAAAAAGGTTTGCCAGCTTTCCTCGTTGTTGCCTCTTGATTGGTGTTCCAATAGCACACGTTTTGCATTAGACTTGTAAATGTTTATTGAAAATAAGCTGGGAAGACAAGTTATATTTAAGTTTGTTTCAGTGATGGCAAGCAGTGGACCTTTAAAAAATACTGATTGTCTAAAAGTGTTACTACCGTATGTAAGAAGCCAGTCAGAGCTAGTCTCATGGCTGGAGTTAACTGTCGGGATATTACTTGGAAAAAGGCCTTTGATTGATTTTGGCACTGTTTCAGGGAAGTATTTCATCCTGTGCATTAATATAAGTGCGTTCTTCACGATAATTCCATGAATAGTGAGAATTCCATACTCTTTAAAGCTATCCCTCGTGTGTGCAGGCAATTGGCCGTCCTTGTAGAAATAGTTGACGTAACCTGGCATAACCATTCTCACACCTTGTTTCTGTTTTGTGAATAGTGACTCAATGTGTGATTTGGCTGCGAAACCCCAGACGAGGGAGCAGAAATTGAGGTGGGATTGAACAAAGCTGTGATAAATTTGAAGCCTGACTTTTAACGGTAAGTGTCGTTTAATTTTGTACATGATACCCATGTATCTATTCATCCTGGCCCTAACGGCATGTATGTGTTTGCTCCACGTTAATTTATCATCGATTATTACTCCGAGGAAACGTGCCTCAGTCACTTGATCTATCACTACTCCAGCTATGGAAACATTAATGTTAGAAAGGGTTGTCGTTCTATGATTGCTAAATACCATAAAGTGAGTTTTTTTGAGATTGAGAGCAAGTCCGTTGCTATCAACCCATTTGATCAGGAGCGAGGTTATTTGATTTAGTTTGAACTGAACCTCTTGCTCGGTGTAACCAGTAACTATGATATTCGCATCGTCTGCGTACAGTATAAACTTAGCTAAATTTGTGATGTTTGGAAGGTCGTTGATATAGATCACAAAGAGTAATGGTCCCAAAATCGACCCCTGGGGTACTCCAAACTGGATTTCTCTGGGCCTCGAGTCTTCTCCACCGACAGTCACGAATTGGTGGCGGCCGCTCAGATAGGACTCGAACCATTTAAGTGCTGAACCTTTAATGCCGTAATGTTCCAGTTTTTTTAGTAGTATAGGATGTTCAATAACGTCAAAAGCTTTGGAGTAGTCAAGAAGAAGCAGCACAGCAATTTGCTTACTGTTGAGAGAGTGTAGAATACTATTTTGAGCATTAAGTAAAGCGTGTTCACATGACATGCCAGGCCTAAAACCGTACTGACTTTCAAAAAGTGATCCATTGAAGTCTAAAAATTCAAGAACTCGACTATGCATAAGTTTTTCGTATATTTTCGAGAAAGAGCTTAGCAAAGAGATTGGTCTGTAATTAGTAACTTCTGTTTTAGAGCCACCTTTGTGTATCGGGACAACTCGTGCCGATTTTAGAGCATTTGGAAATATTCCCTCAGTAAAGGAAGAATTTATGATTACGGCCAACGTTTTTGTGAAATTCGTATCTAAGCTTGCAAGCTTCATTGGTTCAATTTTTGTGTCAAGTGTCGCTTTGTTCTTGAATTTTTTTACTACTTTACTGATTTCAGAGGGCGTAACAGGTCTTAACTCAATACTGCTAGTACCTATATCCGTCCGACGTCCGTCCTGTAAGAATTCTTCAAAACCTCCTGGATCGAAAGTTTGCCTAGCACTTATCTGGGACTTTATGTTGCTTGCAATGTTGGAAAAATACTCATTAAATTTAGCCGATACATCGGAATGGCTGCTGAGTATGTTTCCACATTCATCCTTTATTTTAATAGGCCCAGAGTGCCTGACATTTCTACCCAGGAGACTATTAATAAGTTGCCACTGCTTTTTGGAGTTGTCGCAGTACTCCTCAAAAAAGTTTTTGTAGTACTTGGATTTGGCCAAATTTATATGTTTGTTACAAAATTTATTAATTTTTTTGTACGCAGCAATATTTGTCACGCTGGGAACTTTTATCTTATCGTGGTAGAGACGCTGTCTACGGGCACATGCATCTTCTAGCCACGGTAAGATCCAGGGTTTTGAGTCGTGCCGTTCATTTTTACGTCTAGGTCCAGGTTTCTTTTCAGGATATGCTTGATCGTAATGTTTGGAATAGATTTCACTGAATTTGTCATACTGGTCATTCGCATTAGTTTCTCTGTGCACCTCACTCCACGTTTCGCTCTCAATAATTCTTTTGAAATCAGCATGTGCAGCAGCATTGAACCTGCGGAAGTTCGGCACCTTCTCACGACCCTCACTCGATATAACGCGCCTCCCTGCACTCCTGCCCAGTGAGAGTGTCGTCAGTGTTGCTAAGTGGTCCGACACATTGACCGTCAGTACATGACAACTCAAGGTATTTAATAGGTCGTTGGTATAGACGTGGTCAATTAAGGTTGCGCTATGATCAGTTACACGAGTGGGCCTTGACACCAGTTGTACAAATCCGTATTTTTCATAAACTGCGATAAGATTTTTCCCTGCTACATCTTTTTCGTGTTTTACTAAATCAACATTATAGTCACCGGTAAAAACGATGTGTTTGCGAGAGTGCCTATCAAGACTTCGAAGTAGGTTAAATGCATAATACATGAATAATTGTCAGCAGCTGTACACTATTAAATGATCTGTTAACCTACTTACAAACTGTCTCCTCCAGGTTAGATGTCTCGAGGAGTACGGAGAATTAGAGACAGATTCGGGAGACATAGTTATGTTAACACTCAACTCCGAGCACTATCTACCACTGTCAGAATGTGAACATCTTATCAAACAGGGCGTCCTGCAACACATGGGATCCTGAATAACAGTATAACATAGCAATATAGTGAATGGAAGAACATGCGGCTCCCGCCTTTTCTGATTGCTGTAACGCGCGACGACATTTTCGTGATGGAATAGCGCACACAGCAACTCGAAAAGCAAAATCTGTCAGCATGACAATATGACTGTCATGTAACGTATATATATATAATATAATTGTGGGTGGCGTCGTCTGCTTACAGTGCTCAATCGGCAAGCCGAGAGCTAGATACAAAATGAAACGACCGGTTGAGTCAGACAAATGTTTCAATCATGGTTTTGTATCATGATTGAAACATTTGTCTGACTCAACCGGTCGTTTCATTTTGTATATATAATATAATATATACAACTGGTTTTCTTCTCTTATAGAAAAAGGGCTCTACTAGCTGTAGCTAGGAGCATGAAATATCGGTACAAAGCAAACTATGCAATTGTCAAACTATAAGTTTCATGTTTGAAAAGCAATCTTCAGTGACATAATTAACATAACAAGACATGCGGCCGCTTTTCTTTTGTGGATGGCCGCTCAATTTCCCGATCCGTGATGGCGTATTTATCATATTCCATACAACCTGGGGACGGCCCAGTCTTTACTGTTTATATAAACATGCAAATATGGCGAAGTGACATGCCGACTGCCGAGCGCCGCCCAGTTAATATAATTACATATTGAATTTGAAAATCGTGTATACTTCTATGTAACCATATGTTTATTGTTTATGCAACCTGACACGGATCTGTGCAAAATAGTAATACTAACTCAAAATAATAATAATATGCTTTCAATTAGTGCCTAGTGGGATACCCACATGATGAAATTAATAATGTACTTGGTTGGTTCAGCGCCGCGCGCCAACAATTATATAATTCAGATTATCACGCAAAATAACTTAGCGCAGGTAGTCACGTGGGCGATAACAGTGCTCGCAGGCACGTACGCTCGCAGGCACGGTCGCAAAGCTACCATATATAAAAAACCTCGATCGCTAACCCTTGTCCTTGACTCTTTTGTGCCTTCGGCACCTTTGAGTCATGGATCGGGAAAAAATGGCAAACATAATACAACACAGTGCTCCTTTATCAAATTTTATAATTAACAATTAACAATTACTCAATACTACTAAACCTATATAAATAACTACAAATCCTAATAACTAATAAATACTAACTAAATATGTCTAACTAAGTATTTCCTAGAGTGCCTACATTTAGAAATAATTTCTGATCTTTTATTAATAGTGCCTGGTGTTTTAAGTATGTATAGTTTCTCGTCTAAGCAGAGGCCACAATGCCCCGCTCCAGCCTTATATTTCTTCGATTTAGTAATAATCTTCCAGTCTATGCTATATTCAATCATCTTCTCCTTGAGGTCCCATATCAATTTTGATAACTCGGTACTCAGTTATGTGTTGTATTATGTTTGCCATTTTTATGTTAATTATGTCACTGAAGATTGCTTTTCAAACATGAAACTTATAGTTTGACAATTGCATAGTTTGCTTTGTACCGATATAATATAATATATATATATATATACGCGACGCACGTAAATATCGTACGTGAATCGATCGAAGATGTAATGCGTATTTTCATGTACGATGATCTATATTAAGGGGTCGTTCACATATTACGTATCACTGAAAAAATAGAAATCATTCAAAAATTAGAAACCCCCTCCCTCCCCCTTAGTGATAATGTAACATGTGGACTACTCGGTACTTCTTGTGAATATCGTCAATTTCTAGCCCGGGTACATTGTGCTTTTAATATGATCAATGATGTGATCTGTTTTCATGATCCAAAGATTTGCCCCCATTTATAAAGTTCTTAAACTATTAACCTACCAGTAAAATATTAAAACAAACGTCGAAACAGCCTTCGTGTTAGAAACCTTGGTGCCATAAGACAAGATATCCCTATCAGCCCGCTATGTACGTTGCGTTTGTAAAGTATCACGAGACTAGGTTGCAAGACCAGGAAGTAGGAGCATTTGAATTGATAGCAGTCCTAAAACGTCAGTCTGGTCAGTCACTCTTTAGAATCTGAGCTTGCTCTAACAGTATATTGGTTTACTCCCATGCTCCCCAAGTGTAGCCCAAGGTCGATTTGTTGCTTGAACTGTTCATAAAATCATTGATCGTTTACCTGTGCAATTATGGGTGTGGTTGTTAGACACGTGGTCTGAGAAAGAAGTTGTCGTGATTTTTCGCAGAAGTCTTAGCATTGAGACATCCTACATTTTAGGATAGTGAAAATCCTTCGTCTGGTGTCTGTTTCTGTCTCTAACCGATAACGGGGTCTTTCCAAATTGGCTGTCATTGCTAATATTTAATGTTTTCAGTGACCGAATCAATGGTTGGAATTAGGTTTCAATGATTAGAATTAGGTGGCAACCTTAGTACCAACTGTCTTCTGCAGGGGTGTAGGAATGATTTTCTTCATGGGGGGGCCAAATCCTAAATATTTTTTGGCGCTTCGCGCCAAAGCCTGAATTTCGAGGGTAAGGACAAAAGGAAATTGCAGCATGTGCGGTATCGCGAGTTTTCACGCTTGCCGCGACAAGTCGCGATTTTTCAGATCCTGGCCTTACGACGAATCGCGATTTTTTCAGTTCTCCGTGTCAAATTGCGCATTTTCCTTTAAATCTGAGGACCAAATTCGCATATTTTCCTTCAAATCTGTGGGCCAAATATCACGTTTTCTATAATTAGTATATGAAACCAATCAGTATTAGATCCAAAACCTTCCGAATGAAGGTACGGACTTCAAAAAACCGAAAAATATATTTTCGGCTCAGAATGATCAGGGTAGCATGAAACATAAACAAAAGTAATTTCCAGAAAAACTTTGAAAAATTTTGACTTAGAAAATGTTCGGTACGAGCCATTCTCGATACGTACCTCTGAAAGCAGAGCTCCCGCTTACGAGCTCGTATTGCGAAGGGGAGGCCTGCCTTCCGAGATCGCATCACAAAGGGGAACCCTCGAGTCCTAAATCGTATATCGAAGGGTAGGTGCGGACTTCGAAAACCGAAAAAATATTTTTCGGCTCAGAATGATCAAGGTAGCATGAAACATGAACAAAAGTAGTTTCCAGAAAAACTTTGAAAACTTTTGACTTAGAAAATTTTCGGTCCGAGTCATTCTCGATACGTACCTCTGAAAGCAGAGCTCCCGCTTCCGAGCTCGTATTGCGAAGGGGAGGCCTGCCTTCCGAGATCGCATTACAAAGGGGAACCCTCGAGTCCAAAATCGTGTATCGAACTTCGAAAACCGAAAAAAATATTTTTGGCTCATAATGATCAGGGTAGCATGAAACATGAACAAAAGTGATTTTCAAGAAAACTTTGAAAATTTTTGACTTAGAAAAATTTTGACTTAAAAATTTTCGGGGAAAAAAATTTTTCCCAAAAATTTTTAGAAGCCTAAATTAAAAAGTTGGCCCTTTTTGGCCCCTTGCCCAGATTTCATGGGGGGCGATGGCCCCCCCTGCCCCCCCGCTTCCTACACCCCTGGTCTTCTGACATCCACTAAAACTTAGATCCCTTTACTTTCAGGTTCAACATTTCTGTATTTTGAGGGGCTGGTAATCAGGAAATAATGTGGTCTAAATTGTGATGTACAACAAAACGATTAGCGTAGCTGCAAACAATGATCAAACAAAGATGAAAAATAAATATTAAGCATACCATTATAAGAAAATACCAAAGTTAGATTAATTACGAATAAGCCATGACCAAAGAGCTTCCTATAATAATTTATCTTAAATATCAATGAATAAATTACATTAAACCTAAATTTGCTTTTACAAGAATTCAGTAATTGTCCAGAATTGTCTCAAAAATAATGACATCCTTCGTTCTCAAGCCATGTTCACATAGCTCTTCATTTCAAAACTAGACCAAAATTTGAAACAACTCACAAAATTATTCCCTTGTTCTCAGTTCTTCATTACTCCGTAAACAGGAAAATTGTTTAAGTTGTCGCTTTAAGATCGCAATAAAACCGAATTAGCAAAGAAAATAGACAATGTTGTGAGACTACTAGTGTTTCTGCAGGAATATCTTGCGAGCTTTTTTATACCATTGTTCCTGAGGGAAGTTTTAGTTTAGTTTTCTATGAATCGTGGGAGGGTTTAAACTTTTATCAATTTATGAGTTCTAGAATCTAACGTTGCCTATCTGGTGAACATTTAGAAAATTTTTTTACCAATACGAAGGTGCATAATTTATTTGTTTAGCAATTTAAAAAACATCCCATAATATTAATATGGTTGGCCAAAATGATGAAGCCTTAATATGATAATTTTCGTGGTGAATTAGTTTTAATTTTGATGATTTCAGTTATAACATTTGTATTGGTATGATTTTTGAGATATCCATTTTTTTAAATGACCCGTATTTTAAACTTGTCGAAAACACCCCTAAATAATATAAGTAACGTAGCGCAACATTTTCATCCTGCGTATCACTCTCTTTATTTTGGCTATTTGGATGATTTGATAAATTTTAACCCAATGGGCTTTCATGTTCAAAGATATCGTGTTTTATTGCATCCCCACTACTAACATTGCGAATCTCAATTAAACCAGCCACTTAGTTAATCGCATAAAATATACAACATGATTGTTCTAAACTGTTTCCAAGATTTAATCCTTAGTTCACTTTATCACAGCACTGCAGGACAATGTCAGCAGGGTGCCCAATTGGAGACAGGAGAAAGAACGGACCAATCGCTGTCTGACAATCTGCGCAATTACAATTAGGTCAGATCGTTTGTCTCCTAATTCTCATTTACCGTACATTATGTGCATCCCCTTCCAAAATTGTTCCTTCTAATTAAAAGTAAAGTGAATATAGTCATCAAATGTCTATGTTTCAGGCCTGATTACGACACACCATGTGCGCATCTAATGAAACGAGGATTACACCGATGATGGTTATGGAATTAGGCAGTTTACACAGATGACGATTTAGATTGCCGATCTGAAATGTCAAGGTGAGTCATCGTAGCTTTACGCATTTACTATTGACGCGGACGTCATGCTACTCAAAGGTGTTTAGTATGTGGAACGAACGGTGGAGTGACAGGGCTATTTTTCATGTTGGTTGCATGGAGAATGATTTGATAATTAAATGTGGGATATAGGGATAACTGATATAGTTTTGGTGACCATGTTAGGTTGCTAGGAGGCTGTGGTTGCTATGGTATTGGTGACCACGTTACCTTTTTACCACCATGACTCTCATCATCGCTGACTGGCTCCTCCCCGGTTGCGAGAGATTTACCTTTAGGCATGGCGTAGAAGTTGCCGCCTGATGCCTGACCTCCCTGAGATTTTTAGTAAGGAAGTGATAAGTGATTCAAGGGGAATCACTATTGATTTTATATACAATTACAAAATTCAGTTATCTTTGTACGTAGGCTTTAAGACTAAGAGGAAATGTACAGAATCTAAATATGAATACGGATACTTTTAGGCTTTCAGACTAAGAGGAAATGTACAGAATCTAAATTTGATTATAAATACGGATACTTGTGGGCCACATTTGTCAACAGTGTAAGGTGATTTATTAATCGCTATGCTTCCCAGAAACGTTACAGTTCGTCTCCCCACCTGTACCCAGATATACAGGGAGGCCCAAAAGTAACTGCCCACACGCAACCCTTTAATAGCTCACGTAATTCGTGTCAGAATTGCACAAACATTTTAAAGAATATATATATATTCTCTAATATTATATATATAAAAGTCAGAATAGAGATCATATCTTACCGCATCCTGGGTGTCGTATTTGATGATGACTTGCTGACTTGTGAACTGGGTCTGTGTAGTGTCCAACTCTTCTTGTTCTCGCGCCATTGCTTTGATCCTCAGATCTCGTAGCTTCTCCCTCGACTGTTCGCTCGGCATTTTATCCTTTTTAGCCACCACCACTTAAATGTTAAATCGATAAATAGCCATTGTTCTGAAATCTATCAGGAATATTTCATATAAATTTCATATCCATTCTGCTTCAATAATTTGGCACCTCATATTTATAATTGAACTCACGCCGATTGATAATGGAACTAGATGGTCCAAGTAATTGCGGACATAGTTCACTATGTGTTTATCGTTTTTGGGTGCTCATCATATTTTACAGCTGGGGCAATATTTAGAACAGTTCTAATTTTTTAATAATTTATTGCTGTACTCTTTAAAATCAGAAAATATGTTCAATAACAAACAAAAAAACGAACCGGAGCATTCCCCACTCGATGTATGGGGAGTATAAATATTCTCGATGATAGATTCCTCGTCCTCACCTTGCGTATACTCTTTCCATTTGTCTAACAATGTTCCCTGCAGGTAATCGTACTGTAGTGCGACAAGTACTCTAGTGCGACAAGTACTCTAGTGCGAAGTCCGACAAAAACATACTCTTTCGCACTACAGTACGTGTCGCGCTACGATCCAGGTAGCGTACTCTAGTGCGACACAATATTATATATACTCTTTCCATTTGTCTCACAATGTTCCCTGCAGAACAGATCCGTTGAAAATATACGGTCAAAAAGTTGAGTCTTCCTCAACTTGTCGACTAAAGGGATTATAAGTTTATTTGGTAGACCTCCCGCAAGATAACTTTCCGCTGGGAAGTATTTAGATCCACCACACCTGTCAGCAGCTAATCTAACGTACAATCTAAACTGGTAACTATGGTAACTACCTCTTTAACCACTTGATCATTTCTCTGGATTTGGAAATTCGGCGAATTTTGTTTTGATTCTTAGAATATAAAAACATGCTGCATGGCGTTGACAATTAACATGGTTTAAACTTCTCAAAGTTAAACTGTACCGTCTGCAAGTGACCAGGGTGGAGTTATAATTGAGGAGGATAGAGGTATTATTCTCGCACATGAGCACATGGTGAAGCTTAATCCTACTAATCCTACTAGGAGTCCTAAGCTCTATCAAAATACACAAGATTTTAGTCTATAACTCAAAAACTAAACGTTCAAGGCGTATAATTTATTGATAAGTTGACTATAATGTATAAACATGGCCATTAAATTTAACCCATTAGGGACGATAGGGTCGTTTACGACCCATCCTTTCTAGAGGATATAGATGACAAACCAAAATACTTGATTACACAAATTTTATGCAAGAATGTTCAAAATCTATTGGGCTACATTATTCACTTCAGAATATAGGCCTAATGAGTGACTAACAATTAGATAATTAAATTAATTAGTCGTGATAATTGAAAATTATTCCAATTAACTTCTGGCCTTTATTGGGCCATTAAAACTTCATGAAGGCCATGCGTGCTATGCGACGAAAGTTTTGGGCAACGATTTCCTAAAGGCTAGTGAAAAGCCCGTGATAATCAGATGTTCACAAACAGAGCTATACGCTGTGTCCTAACTGCGGTCGCATACGGCCCATCACGTTTTTTCGGCTATTACTTCTGAAACAAAGACGTTCGGATAAAATAAAAGCTGTAGCATAAGATAAAAACATATGGCCGATACTGTGTATAAAAACATGTTATGTCTTGATAATTACTCCTGTACGCTGATTGTCCTGTCTGAGGTCACGTGATTATTAGCCTGAGGTCACGTGAGTATGACGTCACCAGGGCTTGTTCTCCGTTTCCCGCTCATTGGACCAAGTGAGGTCGCATGCTTTTCAATGTGAGAATGTGGAATGTGAGTGTACTTCTAATTGCCTCCCTATAGAAACCCAATTTACCACAATATAATCGACCTTGTTATACATTTCATTTTGATGACCGTTTCTGACCTAAAATAGATATTTCAGAATATTCTAGAAGGCTATGGATAATTCTTGCAGCCTAACAATTATAATGAATAATTCGTCGCGAGATCTCTGCCTTCGGAGTCAGCCCTGAATCTGTCCTAAAGAGCCCTGATCAACGCTGTGGAGGCGAACTGGCCCACTACTACCAAAGTACCAAGAGAGGATGCTTCTTCCACCACAAGAAAGCCCTTTGGAGGAAGCTGCAGCAACACGACCTGGTCCCGGAGTACAAAGCAGGGAACTCAGCTGTACGAAAGTTCTTCCAGATGATCGGCGCCATCGCCTTCGTGGAACCCTTCCCCCAGAGATGGAGTCCTTTGCTGACTACTACGAACGTACCTGGGTCGGGACACACACCACCTCTCCCCTCTTCTCCCACTGGATCTGGAATCAACGTGAGCAGGATCTGACATGGAAATTCTCTGTCGCACTTGAGTTCATGTCGCACTACAGTCCAAGTAGCGTACTGAAGTGCGACAGTGTTGATCTTGGAGATTTTTGCACTAGGGTACTGCATCGCACTGCCACTAGGGTACGTGTCGCACTACAGTACGGGAATCGTTGTGTACTGACAGCTGATCAACTCACGTACTTATCAATCCAATTCTGTTTATTATTCGTCACTGATTAGGTGACGTGATCTGCAGATCACCATGAGACCCTGGATCTCATGGGACCTAGTGGTCAGCCACCGTGGTTACTGGTTTCTGTGGGATTAAGACCTACGAGTGCTTAGTGAAGTTACACCAACTGTTACGCTGTATTTCTTGATGGTTGAACCGCATGATTTTGATACTGATAATTAATAGCGTGGTTCAGAGTTGGTCGTTATTGACCCAGTTGATCGATTTAAAAATTTTAATGTAATTATCAAGACATAACATGTTTTTATACTCATATTTTTGCACTTTTGGTGTCATTTTGTAGACCGAATTCAAGAAGCTACATGCACATATTATGTAGTAATAAGCAAGCGGCAAGCCGAATAGCTATAGGTCGTTTATGACCCAATTTCTGTATTTAAAAAAAATTAGAGTCACACAGTATCGGCCATATGTTTTTATCTTATGCTACAGTTTTTATTTTATCCTAACGTCTTTGTTTCAGGAGTAATAGCCGAAAAAAACATGATGACCATTGCTGTATGAGTATCGTTTAAAGTTAACGAGATACAGATTAGCTTTTTTGGATATCTCATTTTTGCTGTGAAGTGACCTAGTGTGTTAGATGGCATCGAAATCGACAAACTTTAAAACTCGTCGTCCCTAATGGGTTAAGTTATTAGTTATTACTTACCTCTCTAGCTCTCTAGGTGCTATGGTTCTCTAGATTAAGATATGGACTTTAGACCCGTTTACGTGACCGTGATATTATGTTAGTTACCATTGAAACGTGCAGAACCACCCCTAAATGTTAGAGTTTGACTGCAACGTATGCAACTTTTTGCCAGTTTAATTAATAAAAGGACAAAAGTTGCGCATTTTGAAAAATTCTATTGCAACCCCAGGCTCCGTTAGCATTAGGCTAGGAAGTTGGAAATGCTTACGTAATAGGTGAACAATGTCTTAAACTATCTCTACTGGATGTACTTTTAAGGCGTTGAAACCATACTGCATTCCTTTGCTTCATACCTGTGACTTTTGACAGTATATATTTCCCAGTCCTATCTTCCTCTCGATGCTACCAGTCTGGAAAGGTAATTAGGTAAAACCACTACCTCGTACTGTATTATTATTAAAATCACGTCATTATATTTTACCTCACTTTTAACTTCACTTTTAACCTCACTTTTAACCTCATTTCTCAGTACAATCCTTTCACATTTACTGTGGTGTATATTAATGCAGCCTTAAATCTGTCTGAAACAGGCTATAAAATTAATTGAAATTAAAATTGAACATTGAGCATATAACAGTAACACACGTACACGTATGCATATAATATGACGACTAAACCAACGAAACAAAACCACACCAAATAGAATGATGCAACTATAACCTTAGCCTTAATAAGATTCCTGTTCGGAATAGAGTCCCGCTCGGGCGAGAGTCGTGTTACCTAAAGAAATAAATTTATTGAGGCTATGCAGTCAGAACCAGTTGAGTTGGAGTTTGGGATGACAAGCTCTCCGCCATAGCCTCAAAACTTGATGACGCTTACGTTTATACACAATAACTACGCGCGTGAAATTGCATAATGACATAAAATTGCTTACGTAATATAACAACATGTGAAAGAACATTGTCTACATTTATCGCCCATTGTCACTATACGAAGACTGCTTATTTTAAATTTTCTGCTTGGAAATACCCAACCTATCAACTGTAACTGCAAGGATTGATAAGCAAGTTGCAGCTAGTAGCTACATCTAATAATACAAATACTTGCAGCTATAACCTACATCTGCTACACCTAGGAGTGCATCACGTGATGCCCTTATAAGGTCAGTAGCACCACGTGATGCCCATATAAGGTCAATAGCACCTGGCACTTACCCTGTTGGCGGTTAAATGAGAGTCGTCCAAAGAAGCACTAGCGGGAGAGGGGTTCTGGTATTGCTCCCGCCCCCAGTTCCTATCACTGCCGTGTCTCGCCCTGTTTAGCCCGTCTCCCATTTAGTGTTGTATGGTGTTACAATCCTCATCTGCTACATTACCTCCTTCCAGTTAAAGTGAGTTAGTGAAGTAGTATAATACTTACGAGATTTTGTCTGCAGCAGAGTGGGGAGTGTAAAGCTCAAAAAGTCAACGATCTGGTAATTCAAATTATTGGGCGACCAAGAGTGTATTGGACCAGACATTTCGCAAATCAACATTTCACAAATTTGAACAAGTTTTTTGAGACACGGGTAGTTGTTAAATCACGTTTCAGGCTTGGTTTTGAGAGAAGAAACGTCCAAAACTAAAATTTCGGAACCCCGTAAAATACAACCTGGTAAGCGTATAATGGTTGGGAATCGGAACACAACTAAAGTCTACAGTGTTTACAAATTGATCATTAAATATTTAAATAGACTCCCTAACTCGTGCATGATTCTCAAGAATTATACTGTAATAATAGTGCACTATAAGCTACTACTACTACTACTACTACTACTACTACTAAGTACTATTATGATACCATAAATAACATTGCCTCAACCACAACGTCAACTGACTAGCTAATAAAGATACGAGCTACCTGCCAGATATAATTGGTAATGGGTATATCATGCGATGACATCGGTTATCTAGAATGGTCTACAGACATTAGAGTGAGGATCGGTTTGTGGTTGTAGAGGGGAACTACATTAATATATTATAATTAAATAATAATAATTAAATACATGTAACGTAATTTCCTATTTGGCGGTTTCTAAATACTATGCAGTAGCCAGTGAATGCTCTGAGGACAGGCAATGTATTATCAGAGCAAGCAGTGTAAAAACAACCCAATCGGTCCTTTACCCTTAATAGATAAGGGTCCCTTATCTATAAGTATAACACGTTTGTAAATAAGTGCATAATTGGTTTGTATTGTCAGACAGTTATGGACATTGGATAATGATCTGTCCCAGGATAGAGCTTAAATAGGTCACGGTGGAATTATAATTAAATAATCATCTGATATTTAGGATTAGTGGTCTTGTCCTGTATAATGTGTATAATCGCTACACTCGTGGTCCCTCGGGGTCGCAACGTGAGACGAGCCTCGAGGATTCACAGCACAGATCGGTTCACGACTGCTGGACTAAGCTAACTTTAAGCGAATTCAACAAAGCTACAGAGAAACTAACGTCAACAGTTGCAGAGAAATGAAAATGACCTTGCAACCCGTATTAAGCTGTGAAGGGTGGGCCAAATTAAGCTCAACAGGAGAAATACCCTGCACATAATCTGCAAGTCATGCGTTATGACGTATAACATGTGTAATGGGACTATTAGAACCATAATTTGCTGTCAAACGGTTATACAAACTGTTATAGTAACAGCTTCGTAGCAATAATAGAAAAATATGTAATATAGTGCCTCCTTGTATTATAATATACTAATATAACGGAAGCAGTTAAGTTGCGCAATTTCATATCTTAGATCAGATAACCGGATACCATAGTGGTTATCAAAGTTGAGTACAGTTTTTCTCGTATCCCACGAATGTTCAAAATGTCGATTATTCGTACACTCGCGAATGCAAACGAGTTTACGGAAGTTTACAGCTATTTCTTGCTGATACCGACAATTTAAGCACAACACATTTACAAGAACAAAATGATTATCAAAAACTTAACTACACCGCAGGGGGGGTACCAATGGCATAAATGGCATAATGGAGAATTGGCCAATAAAAATTTCCATTTATGCCATAAAACGTATGCCATTTATGCCATTTTTGATATAATACATTTCTATTTTCTTTATTTGTCATATGAATCTTTAACGATCATTCCAAGCGTTATAAAGCATGAAACATGTCTCTCATTCAAGTACTAATAATAATTTGCGAATTTAAAGTCAAATATGAAGACCTAAATTCATGGCATAAATGGAGAATTGGCCAATAAAAATTTCCGTTTATGCCATAAAACGTATGCCATTTATGCCATTTTATGCCATTGGTACCCCCCCACACCGCATCATCACACCCACATACAAAAATAATGAACGTCCGGGCGTTTATAAGACTATTATCAAATTAAACGAGGTTTCTATTGCAATAAACAAACTGACTTGTACTTGCTGGCAGGCCTCAATAACACTGACCAGCCCGCATTTCCGGCGCCTCCCGTATCTTCCTTCTCCACCCAGACCAAATTACGTGGAACACGTGTTTTAACGATCCCGGTCACGTGACCTGTCTGCACGTGCGCGCTCTCATTTCCAAGAGTTCGCGAATGGATCATCTCCGATATTTGGTCATTTCCTACTTTTCTGTGAGTCGATCTGACTGCATGGACCAAAGTTATGTCGGTGAGTTTTTGGTGGGCGACTTCTCAAGCCTCACTCTGCTACCCGACCTGAAGATGTGATCGAGAAACGGAGATCACCCTGAAATGTCCTCGTCACGTGACCTCCAGTTCCTGATCACATGACAGCACAAGTAATAAAATTATCAGCGATTATTCTCTGTACAAAGTACGTCACGTGGTCTAATCGGTCTGATTATACTGCGTAGGGCTGTCCGCTGAACGGTGTCTTTAAACCACGTGGAGCGCTCTCATTGGGCCATACACTGGGTTTAAATTAAAATAACGGTATCTTGGATATTAGATATTATACGTTGTTATGTGTATGTGTAATTAGTGCACTATGTGTACTTGCTTATTATGATTAGGTCATTAGAGTGTGTTACTGCACGCCCGGTCACAATCAGGGTAATCGTACTGGAGTGAACACTTCATGGCTGATCTTTATCTTGGATATGTAGAATGTAGAAGTATAGTCAACCACGGGGGGGGGGGGGGGGGGGGGGGGTTCTCTACACTTTCTTACGCCATACTTAAAATAAGGCAAAAGTGTAGCACGTAGTGCCTATTAAAGCATAAAAATTGAATTTTTTCTCAACAAAGTTATGTTTTACCCTTGGAAATGAACAATGTGAAGACTGATATGAAAATAATAGGAAAAAGAAGATTTTGAGAAGAAATTTGGTTAAGTGTAATTTAAGGTGTAAAAAAAGTGTAAAAAAGTGTACCTTTTTTACTACACTTTTTAGTAAAACCACCCCTGTGAATATGAATGTGCACTGTAAGCGGTATTTAGGAGGGACACTGATGAACCAAGGATAATCTTTTGTTTACCTCCTACTCCTAGTGATTATCTAGTAACCGTATATATTATTTGACCAAAACCCATAATCATGGGTAGAGTGGAGCGCTGCCAGTGTCTCTCTTTCCCGAACAAAAGGCAATGATATCAATTTGAATGACCGTTATCAAATGCAAAATTATACCGAGAATGAAATCGGTCGCTCGCTTTTCCCATTCATTTACAATTGAAATAGATTACATGTTATAAATCGAAACTTATTACAATTCGTAAGCCATGAATGAGTGGGAAAAGCGAGCGACCGATTTCATTCTCGGTATAATTTTGCATTTGATAACGGTCATTCAAATTGATATCATTGCCTTTTGTTCGGGAAAGAGAGACACTGGCAGCGCTCCACTCTACCCATGATTATGGGTTTTGGTCAAATATCATCTCTTTTTGATTATAATGTCAGGGTACTTTACAAAGCCGAAATGTAAACTCATAATTTCATTAATATTAATAGGGAGGTGATTTCAACAATTTCGAAATTTTTCCTTTAAAACCATTTCCTTGTGTTTAGGTAAGCATATCGGTCGATCGGATCACTGACTGAATATGCCATTTTATACTCATTCAAGTTGGCATTAAATTCATATATAATGACATTGAACTGTCGTGGCAAAGCAGAATTTGTTCAAAATCACGAATGAGCAAAATTTTAACCTTTCGCACGTGCAAACCTTGAGCGGACGTTGCGTCCGCATCTAATATTGAATCACTGTCAATTTTTGCGTGATGGTGTTTTATATATAGTTTGATAAGCAATGAAAAGTTTCAAAGTATTTCAAGAAGAACTGTTATCACAACGGCACTCCAAAGTTGACGGAAATTGGTGAAAACAGCAATTTTCAGTGATTTTAGCAATTTTCTATCAATTTGGGCGTGGCCCCACGTGTGCAACTTTTCGATTTTCAACTTTAAAACTAGCCTATGACACAATTTAGATCTTTAGGAAGCAAAATTGAGCTCCACAACCCAAGGGATGGTGTAACACCAGAGAATACTAGAACGTAAAATTAGCGTTTTTATAAAATTATTCTTTAAAAAAGCACTAACTTCAATAGCGAATATCTTTATGAAGGAGCAAGCTAGAAACACTTTCCGGTAGATTTTGAGAATGCTTAAACAATTATCTTAGATGAAAATTTCCTCAAATTTTGAATAAAATTACTCCTCAATGGCGTAAAATCGATTTGAAAAATGACTACTTTGTGAAAAATCAAGTTTTAAAAATGGTTAACTTGATGACGTCATCAAGTGGTGATGATGACGTTGAATTACTTTTTAACATAATGTAAACTGAAGTCTAAACAATTATCTTCAAGACCTGTGGTCCGAAATGGCTGTATCTTTTATACTTCAGAATTTACGGACACTTAAATACAGGCTATAATTCACTGGCAAAGCGTCTATCCCTGAATATATATATATATGTATATATGTATGTATATATCACGACAATCTGTCGTAAAACAGGGGTTCTAGAAAACCCATTTTCCTATGCTCCTGAAACTTGAAACTTTTTTTGCAGTCGATTTGGTCAACGTCTAGACGCCCTAAAAAATTTCAGATCTCTAACTCAATTTTAACATGGTTTTTAAGGCACCTGAATATGGCGATTTTGGGTTTTTTACCGAATTTCGTATAACAGTGCTGGCGAGTATTTTATGCAAATTTCTTAAAAATCTCAGCATAACTATTTTTTATTCCTGTCATCTTTGACATCAAATCAGAATGTTTTGAACTAAAAATAAATCTGCTGAACGACTTCCGATGAGTCTTAATGCCTGAAAAACTCCTGTCGGAGGCGGCGGCCTTCGGCCGCCGCCTCCGGCCGGAGTGCACGCTTCGCGTGCACGAAAGAGG